GTAGTACTAATAGTGGTGGTAGCAGTAGTAGTAGTACTAGTAGTGGTAGTAGTAGCAGTCGTAATCGTCGTAGTAGCAGTCGTCGTCGTCGTCGTAGTAGCAGTTGTAGCAGTAGTAGTAGCGGTGGTAGCAGTAGAAGTCGTAGTCGCAGTAGCAGAATGTAAAATCATAGTAAAAGTATTTGTAGTAGTAGTGGTAGTAGCAGCAAGTGTGATTTTGTTGGTGGTAGTAGTAGTGCTAGTCGTAGTAGTAGTAGTAGTAGTAGTAGTAGTAGTAGTAGTAGTAGTAGTAGTAGTAGTAGTAGTAGTAGTAGTAGTAGTAGTAGTAGTAGTAGTAGTAGTAGTAGTAGTAGTAGTAGTAGTAGTAGTAGTAGTAGTAGTAGTAGTAGTAGTAGTAGTAGTAGTAGTAGTAGTAGTAGTAGTAGTAGTAGTAGTAGTAGTAGTAGTAGTAGTAGTAGTAGTAGTAGTAGTAGTAGTAGTAGTAGTAGTAGTAGTAGTAGTAGTAGTAGTAGTAGTAGTAGTAGTAGTAGTAGTAGTAGTAGTAGTAGTAGTAGTAGTAGTAGTAGTAGTAGTAGTAGTAGTAGCAGTATCAGTATCAGTAATAGTAGTAGTAGTTGTTGTTGTAGCAGTAGTAGTAGTAGTCGCAGTAGCAGTAGTAGTAGTCGTAGTAGTACTAGTAGTGTAAGTAGTAGTAGTAGTAGTAGTAGTAGCAGTTGTAGTAGTGGTAGTAGTAGTAGTAGTAGTAGTAGTCGTCGTCGTGGTAGTAGTAGCAGTAGCAGTAGCAGTGGCAGTGGTAGTTGTAGTAGTAGTAGTAGTAGTAGTAGTAGTAGTAGTAGTAGTAGTAGTAGTAGTAGTGACAGTAGTCGTAGTAGTAGTAGTAGTAGTAGTAGTAGTAGTAGTCGTAGTCGTAGTAGTAGTAGTAGTAGTGGTAGTACTCATCAGACTGTGACAGTGAGAACATTGAGATCGGCATATACGCGCTGTGCTCAGGCGAGAGCATCGTGTTGGAAGCGACCAGCCCTCCATCTTAAATATCTTGCATGGTTTTTACAGCGAGTTGGCGCGGTGCGAAGTCGAGGGCAACGTTTTGAAAACGATCCGCCCTCTATCCGGGCAGCCCTTGCAAGTTTTTACCACGAATTCGCGCGGCATTCAGGCAAGAGCAACATTTTGGAAGCGGCCCGCCCTCAACCTGTGAAACTCTTGCAGCGCTCATAAAACGAATGTGTGCGGCGCATAAATGGGAATCACATTTTGGAAACGGCCCCCCCTCAATTCGTGAAGCTCTTGCAAGTATTTGAAACGAATGTGCGCGGCGCTCAGGGGAGGGCCACATTTTGAAAACGACCCGCCCGCAATCTGTGAAAGTCTTGCAAAGTTTTCAACGAATGCGCGCGGCGCTCAAGCGAAAAACACACGTTGAAAACGAGGCGCCTCGAGTCCGTGAAACCCTTGCAAGTTTTTGAAAGGAATGCGCGGGGCGCTGATACGAGAGCCACATTTCGAAAAAGACCTGCCCTCAATCTGTGAAGCTCTTGCAAGTTTTTGAAACGAATGCGCGCGGCGCTCAGGCGAGGGCAACATTTTGAAAACGACCCGCCCTCAATCCGTGAAGCTTGTGTTTGTATGTTGTTGTTGTTGTTGTTGGTGTTGTTGTTGTTGTTGTTGTTGTTGTGTTTGTTGTTTTGTTGTTATGTTGCTGTCATTTGTTGTAAGAAAAAGATGCGCGCGGCGCTAAGGCGAGAGCCACGTTTTGAACGCTATCCTCTCCCAGTCCCGGAAACTCGTGCAAGTCTTTGAAATCGAATGTGCGCGGCGTTCAGGCGAGAGCAACATTTTGAAAACAAGCCGCCCCAACCCGTGAATATTTTGCAATTGTTTGACACGAATGTCAAGGTCCTTGCGTTGTTCCGCCAATGCTTCTTATAGGTGTCGGTTGCGGGGGGGAGGTGGGTAGTATCTTGTTTCTTGCTTGGCACGGTGCTAAAGTCCTCGTTCGGCTCGACCCCCCTCTGGGATTTAGCCATGCGTTGCTAACGATACCACTGGGGGGTTCTTTTAAACTGCCCGTGGTTAGATGGGGTCGGTGGACCGCGCCGCATCGCCGATGCACTGGCGATGCGGCTCGATGTGGAGCTTGGGTTTCTCCACGCCGACGTCACCGATGCACCGCCGATGCATCGGCGATGCGGCGCGATCCTCCAACTCTACTCCGACCCCATCTGGGAGGCCTCTCTTCTCGCCCCTTTCCCCACAGGTGCTGCGACGACGCTCTGACCAGGCCACCCTCAGGGACGCGAAGATACAGCTGGCACATCGAACAAGAGATCGGCCCGCCGGCAGGTGCCCCGCGGAAAGCGTCGTGCCCACCGATGGCCCACGAGACCCATCGACTCCCTGGGGCACCTGAGGACTGTCCGCGATCGGCAAAGAATGCGACCCACAATTTCCGAGGGCAAGATCTCTCATCGTTTGGGCCTGCTTGCAGCCACTCTCCAGTGCCTGGGTTGGACGTTCGCCCTGACCCACGGGGCGCGAAGAGTGACCTCGCCCTGCGCGGTGCAGGCCGTGAGGTGAGATGGCACCCGGGTGCTGCGACGGAGCCGACGATGCGCATGCGCACGCGGCTCGCCCGGGGGGGGGGTCCCTCGGTAGCCGAAGGCGCGGGCAGGCGTCGCCATTGCCATTGCCCCTCGCCGTCCGCGTCCCTTGTTTGTCCGCGCTGTTTCACGGCCTCTTCTTGGGGGACGTCAAGATGGATTACCTTTTCGGGTTCGATTGGCGCCTCGGCTATCTGACCTACAGCATGTAGCTTTCACCACACACTTTGCACCACACAGTTTTGACCACAGAGGTTTCACCACATTGCCTGCGCCATATCCCCTGCACAGCTTTGCTTGCACCGCACATTATGCACAAGCGATGGCTTGCTTCCAGTTCCCTTCTCCGTATACTTACACAGGATAGCTTACAGCACAGAGCGTGCACCACATAGTTCACACCATTTGCAACGTGTTGCCCTTGAAGACGTCATCATAATGCCCAGCCCGCCTGAGCCACCGACCCGCATTGAAGTGCCCGCACGCCATCGCGGCCTTTGATACTCGCTGGGAAGTTCCCATCGGTAAGCGCCATCGGTGCCGCATTGGCTGCGCCAAACCAGCTGGCCGCTCTACACGAGCTTGCGTGCGCCAGCGCGGCCGCCGAGATGCGCTAGCCATGGCCAGGCAGTCATCGCACTGGCCGCCCCACGGGTTTTGCAAACCAAGCTGCGGACGGGAGGGTGGGGTGATTGCGCGAGCTGTGGAGTTGACAATTTCAAGTTCTGCACGGTGAATTGCACTGCGTAGCTTGCACCACATCGCTTGCACACCTAGGGTGCACAAATGTCTGATCGGGACCCACACTGGCAGACGTGCAGATTCCCGTTCTGACTGCTGGTCTTTCTCTTGATGCTACCAAGCCTGAGCCCGCTCGCTGCTGGCTCAAGTGCTGCAGCGACGTGTGGCGGTGCAGGGGTGTGCTCGGGCGGCGGGAAGGGGGGGAGCGATATTCGTCTCCTCTTGCCGCCTGCTCCAATGTCCATGTCCTCCTTCAACCTTTTCTGACAGCCACAGTCCCCGCACACAACCTTCGATCTCCCCCACACAGTTGCACTGATGTAAAGAGGTACGTTGGTTGAAGAGATTGACCCCTTGCAGGAGGCCCCCCTATGGTTTAGGATTCGCGATGCTCGACACCGCAAACTGGTACCATCGTGGGCGGATCCCTCTGCAAATGGAGCTTCGAACTTCGGCCCCTACGCGTTAGAATGCTGACGTGTCCTGCAGTTCTGTTCGTGAGGGGTGCACCCTGTTCACCCACCAAATTTCTCGCGCTCGAAGATGCCTGACATTCTGGAATCCAGTCTGCTCTTTGGCTTCTGGCGTGTGCAGGAATAGAGGGTTTTACACATTGCTGTTCCGAGAGAGGGGACGAATGCCGCAGAATATCCCCAACCGAGGGTTGCCACGGGAAGGATTTGGACTTTAGCCTGAACGGAGGTCGCAGCGACGCTCATCCTCCTCCTCCTCCTCATCATCAGCAGCAGCAGCATCATCATCATCGTCATCATCGTCATCATTCTAGTCCTCCTCGGCATTCCACTTCCACTGCTCAGACCCCGGCACCTCCCGTGCACAGGAGGCCCTGCAGGGCAGGAGGGGCAAGTTCGCCACCGCGGCCCACCTGGCCATGGTGGGCACGCTCCCCTCACCCTGCTCTGCCAACACGGCGGCGCAGGCCGGGGGCACCTCCTCCAGGAGGGGGAGGAGGAGGAGGAGGAGGAGGAGGAGGAGGAGGAGGAGGAGGGGGAGGAGGAGGAGGAGGAGGGGAGGAGAGGAGGAGGAGGAGGAGGAGGAGGGGAGGAGGAGGACGAGGAGGAGGGAGGAGGAGGAGGAGGAGGAGGAGGAGGCTGTTGGCGGCTCGTCAGCGGGACCCTTCGCCTGTGGTGCCCCTCGGTGCGGGGGCCCACAGGGGCCTCCCCTAGCCTTGGCGTGCGCGCTCGCTCGTCCCCTCGTCGGTGACCCTCGGAGCGCCCAGGCGAGGGGTGAGGACCGACCCGCCGGGAGCGTCCAAGAGCGAGGGAGGGTGGAGGGAGGAGGGAGGAGGGAGGAGGAGGGAGGAGGGAGGAGGGAGGAGGGAGGAGGGAGGAGGGGGGAAGGAGGGAGGAGGGAGGAGGGAGGAGGGAGGAGGGAGGAGGGAGGAGGGAGGAGGCAGGAGGGAGGAGCAAGGAAGATTTCGCTGGTGCCTGGAGAGTTTCTCGCCTCGGGGTGCTTTCCAGCAGCTGCGCCTCGTCGATGTCTTCCCGCTCTGATCGCCCCGGACGGGCGCCAGAGGCCAGGGTCATGACCCGAGCCCCGACCGGCGTGGAGGACGGGGGTGAGGACCGGGGGCTGTGTGGTTGTCACGGCCGGGGGCCACGAGCGTCCCAGAGTTTAGGCCACCGCGTCTGCTCTCGACGCGTCCCTGGGCCCCCCCTCTGTCCGCGCACCCATGTCGGGCCTGGCCCCCTTTCTATCCCTGGCCCACCTCTTCGGCGCACCCCGCTCGTGTTGGTCCGTGGGACGTGGGCCATCCCAGCGCAGCCGGGGATGCCCCCCCGCCCGCCCTGCCGAGTCGAGGGGCGACTCCGCCCCCTGGGGGCCCCTGCTTGCCCCCCTTTCCCCCTGGGGCGGCGATGCGCCTACCACTCTGCGGGCAAGCGCGCGCGAGGTTCGCGGGCCACCTTCGCCACGGGGTGTTCTGCCCCAGAAGCTTCAGGCGATCGCAAACATGGATCAAGGGGGCGTGGATTAGCGACCAGTTCCGTTTCCATTGGAAATCGCGGATTTCCGCCGCCGAGCGAGGCGGCACCGGCCATTGATTAGGCGACCGCGCGCCAAATCCATGGATCGCTGATCCATGTTTGCGCGCATCCCGGCTCTCGCTGCTCTCCTCCCGGGCGGCTCGGGCTGGCGCCGTGCTGGCGCGGCTTCGCGCGGCTTTGCCGGGCGCCCTCACCGAGGCGGGATGTGGCACCTCAGATCTCGAACGGTATGATTGCTGTCGAGTCTTCATGCTTTTCTTGGATTTGGGCCCCCTGGGTCCGTTGTCGGACCCTGGCACCACCAAACATGGATGTGGAGCTACTCCAGTGGAATCGGTCGGGAGATCTGGAAATGCGGGGAGCGCAAAAATCATGCCTGAGGATGTCTGGGACCCCGTCGTGGGCGCCCGCGGCTTACGCATCGCCGTGGAGGAGGCAGATTTCACCTGCTCTCTCTCGGCGGCTCCGCACGCACGCTTTTGTGATGCAGGGGGCAGGGTTGCCAAGGCTGTCCTGGTGGGTCGCCGACGGCAACGCGAGCTCGGCCAGCCGACCATGTCCCAGTAGTTTTACGCCGGGTGTGTCCCCCCACAGGGGGATTTGGGGCGAAAAATGAAACATCTAAACATATACCCCACAATTGTCAAGCATAGTCTAAACATCGCCCCCAGACTATGTTTAAACTCTGCTTGAATATTCCTCCTGTAGAAGGACACGCCCGACTTAACGGTAGTTGCCAGCGAGCGCCTCTGTCCCTGGCACTGCGGTAGCCGCCGGTGGCGGTGCACGCTCAGGGTGCCACGCCCAGCTCCAGAGTCGGGCTTGCCTCCTGAGTGCCTCAGCTTGCACGCCCTGTGGAGGAGGAGGAGGAGGAGGAGGAGGAGGAGGAGGAGGCAGTCGGCCTTGGGGGGGGGGGGGGGGGGCGAGGCGCGGGGCGACGTGCGCCTTGGTGTGTCTTCTGCGTGTGCGCCTGGGTCTGGAGTGTCTGCCCGCTTCCGAGGACTTCGGGGCCCACGGTGCCCGCCATGCGCGTCGCTTCCGCGAGGTTTGCGCGGTGGACCTCCGATAGTGCAGCGCAGCGTCGGGGCGGCGCCCATGCCGCAACGCTCCACTCTGGTGCGAAGTCGGCTGTAGATTTGTGCCGCTTCATGTGGACGGCGCCGCGGGCATCGTTTGTTGGCGCAAGGACATGGATGCGTTCGCTCTCTGTCTCTCTCTCTCTCTCTCTGTATCTGCCTCTCTCTTGGAGGCGGGGCGTGTGCGCCTTTGTTTTCCCCTCGGCGGCGGCGCCTTGGGGGCGTTGGGCAGGCTGTAGAGCCGACGCCCTCTTGCATACAGGGTCCGTGGCAGTTGCTACGGGCCGCCTGCAGCGGATGGTCTCCGCCTCCTGGCCTCCGCACGGTTTGCTGAGTGACGGCTGTTTGCGGGCAGGCGTTTGAAGTGGAGCAGTTGATGTGGCATCGGTGGTTCGGCCCGCTTTGGCACGCTGTCCTAGGGAAGGTGCGCTGAGAACAGAAGCATTACTGCCGTCGCCAACGTCGTCACCATGATCGTCGTCAACATCACCTCCCACTCGACTTCGTGCGCACACGCAGTCGGAGTGATGGGGCCGAACGGGCTTACACATCGCTGGGTGCGTGCCTGAAGTGGCTCCCGCGGTGAGGATGATTGTCGTTGTTTGTTGTTTGTTGTTGGTGTGGTTGCTGTTGCTGTTGCTGTTGTTGGTGTTGGTGTTGTTGTCGTCGTCATCGCCTGCGACCCGCCTGCGAGCCGCCCGCGACCCACCCGCAACCCATCCGCGACCAACCCGCGACCCACCCACAATGCTTTGAGGAAAGTTCGGCGCCTTCGGCGGGCCCGTTGTTCAATGTGTAAAAGGGCTGCGCCTCCGGCGTGCTATTTCGGACCCTCGCAGACTACCGACCACCCCGCCGCCCCATCATTCTTATCCGCGACTGCGGGGGCTGCGTTATGGTGCTGTTTTCTTTCTCGTCGTCTTCGTCATCATCGTTTCATCCCGCAGCGTGTCGCGAGCGAGCACCACCTACCCTGCTCCAAGCAACTCCGTTGCAGTTGGACGGGCGCGCAGGGGGGCTGGCCTCCGCATCCTTATTTATTTTGGATTCCTCCTCCTCCTCACTATCATCCTCCTCCTCCTCCTCCTCCTCCTCCTCCTCCTCTTCATTCCGTCTGCTCCTTCACCCCCCCTTCACTGCAGTGTTCTTCCCCTCCGTCCCGCCGCCGTCCTCCCAGAATGCAGAAGGGGCCCCGAGGGAAGCAGGTGCTCCTGGACCCCAGGGCCGCCTTTGCACCCCGAGCCGCTCCCTGCTGGCCCCAGGACCCAGGAAGGGCCAGAGCCAGGGGAGGCCGCAGACGGCGAGAAGCATCGAAACCTTTCTCCTCTGAACCCCTCCATATGCGCGGGGGGGAGGGGTCAGGGAGGGCGGGGTCACGGCATTTGCTTTGGGCAGCTGGTTTCGGCCTTGCCGCCGGGCGCTTTCCCCGAGCTGCCCGGGCTGATTCGCTCAACAGCGGGTTGGTGTTCCCTGCCGTCGACCGCCCCGAGGCAGGACTCCTCCCCAGAGTTCCGGTGTCGCGATGTGTTCAATGACGACGGGTTCCCCGCAAGTCACGACCCTTTCGCCGAGTCGTTTTTTGTGGACTGCTCTCCGGGGCCCCGCGAGGCCCACCAGGGGCGAAAGCTGGGGCACATTTTTCTGTGCTTTTGGTTCGCGACGCAGGCATGTCACAGTCCGGGTCTTCCCCTCTCAGGCCGTCCTCCAGCTCCTTCTCCTCCTTTTCCTCCTCCTCCTTTTGCCCTTCTTGCTCCTCCTTCTCCTCCTCCTCCTCCTCCTCCTCCTCCTCCTCCTCTTCCGCCTCCTCCTCCTCCGCCTCCTCCTCATCAGCATCATCATATCCATTTAAATTCGCAAGCCCTCCGGAAGCCGTCGCGGCTCGAGCGTTCGCCCGCGCGGGCAGCGCCGCCCCACCCCCACCGCGTGGCGGCGCGCACGACGGCATGTCGCGTGAAGGGGGGGGCCTTGGAGTGCAGTGGGGGGGGTTCTTGGAGGGAGGAGGGAGGAGGGAGGAGGGAGGAGGGAGGAGGGAGGAGGGAGGAGGAGGAGAGAGAGAGAGGAGGGAGGAGGGAGGAGGGAGGAGGGGAGGGAGGAGGGAGGAGGAGGAGGAGGGAGGAGAGAGGAGGGAGGAGGGAGGAGGTAGGAGGGAGGAGGGAGGATGGAGGAGGGAGGGAGGAGGAGGAGGAGGAGGGAGGAGCAGGAGAGGAGGAGGAGGAGGAGGAGCAGGAGCAGGAGGAGGAGGAGGAGGAGGAAGAGGAGGAGGAGGATCAGGAGGAGGAATAGGAAGAGGAGGATGGTGGGCCGTCTGCGAAGGCCCCGGAAGCTTCCAGGAAGCCTTCTCGGAATCCTCCAGGGCGCTTCTAAGAAGCCCCCCCTGCCTTTTTTCTCGGCGGCGACCTGGGGTGGGGACACGAGAAGTAGAAGGCCTTCTCAAAAGGCGGCGGGGCTTCTCGGAATGCCTCTGGTCTTCTGCGAAGTTGGTTGTGTCTTCGGGGAACGCTTGGAAAGCCTCTCAGCAGGCCATGGAGACTTTCCAGCCTATTGAGAAAGCCTTCTCCTTCTCACTTCCCCCCCAGGCTCGCCGCCGGACGTCAAGATTTTGTCACAACGTCGACCCCCTCAGCCGAGGTCTCGACCCATGGCCAAGGACCTGCTTTCCATCCCGAGTCGTGTTTCCATGGCCCCGAGGCCTGAGGAGGGCCACCAGAGGTCAGAGTTGGCGCGAAACCTCTCGCCGTGATGTCTGTCAGGGGCTCCTCGCGCCATGCCCCGTGGGCGCGCCACCACCACCGCTCCACGGCAGCGCCCTGCTCCGGCGCGGCCGCGATCGGGCCCCCCGCGCGGCGGCGCCTGTGTGTGAGCCCCCCGCGGCTCCCCCGCGGCACCTGTGCCCGCCAGGCCCCGCGGTCGGCGCCAGGGAGCTCACAACCCCTTCGCGTCGTGAAGCGAACTGCTTCCACTCGGAGCCGCCGTGGGGTCGGAGGTGGCCCAGCACTGGTTCCGTCCAGCGAGGTTCGAGGCACGGGGTTCGGAGAGGTGGTCTGCCATATGCTTTGCCTCCGGGGGCCGTTTTCGGGCGCCGAGGCCGTCCAGAAAAGGACCGGGGTGCAAAACTGCGCCAGGTGGACCCCAGGAGGGGGACGGATTTTGATCAAAGTTGACTTCATCC